CATTTAAATTGGAATTCTTGTTTTTGAGAGATAATGTAACTAAAATATCCTATAACTATAACACAATTTTTTGAAGTTTTAGTAAAATACAGGTAGGCCTCCTACAACGCGGTAGATATGTTCCTTGAAAATACCGCGTTGTGGAAAATCGTGTTATAGGAGACACTAACGCAATACAAAAACTGGATTCGGTTCTAAAAAGAGAAAAACTTGGCGTTTGAATGGCATTTTTTGAATTTTTCAAACCAGCCATTGGTAGCCACAATTTTAACACTGGTTTCATCAGCTGACCAGTGGCGTAGTGTAGTGGTGGTGGCAGGGACGGCACTTTTAGGGGGGGCAAAATTTCACAATAAATAATAATAATATCTTGTAAAAATTTGAATCATTTCATTTCATATTTTTGTCGCACCTACGATTCGAACTGATTGAAATGAGCACGAAATTGTTCATTACTTATTCTGTGACAAAACTGAATTTTAGTCTTTTAAATTGAGATACCTAAATAGGGGGCAGTGAAATTTTCCTCCGCCTCGGGCGGCTGACACCCACACTATGCCACCGCAGCTGATGACTGTCCCATTTGTTTTAAATAATCAAATATTTTTAAGGCTTTGTGTTTAAGTGCAGTTTTATTTAAAGGAAACCATTTCTTGTTCATATCTTCTACCCATAATATTAGCGTTTGTTCCATTTTTTACATTATAGGTGCTCTTGGACAAGCAACATTTTTCGCAAGAATAGATGATCCAGATGTGACCAAATTTCTAATCTTTTCTCCCGATTGCTTAATCGACCGAATGGTCGACTCATTTAAATTAAAATGCCTACTGATATCAGCTATCACCTCTTGGTTTTTAATTCAATCCAAAATTTCTAGCTTTGAAAAGTTATAAATTTCCTTTTTAACGATGGTCCTTTGTTTTCATTCGGGATTGTTATGACTAAAATTTTTTCAATCAGTTTTGTAGACAGTAAAAATCGCAAAAAATAACTTTTCTTCACTATGTTGTTAAAAATATACACCCAATAGAAGTTTATACTGTATTTTGGACCATTTTTGCTGTCCCCACTTATTGAAACAGTATAAATGATGGAAAATTTAGTGATATATTTGAGTGTTTACGGTAACTGATGCACATCTGTCTAGAAACCGGTCTTCCCCTGAAACTTTCAAGGGAATAAATAACACGCCAACNGAACACCACAAACTTCAAATATACCATCAAGTATTTGGCGATGATTTACCTATAAAAAAAAATTTTATTCAATTAAATGTTAATACTTTATTTGATATTGTAATAAATAATATACTGTATTTACTTTAATCCAACATGTACCATAATTTCACCATGGGTTTTAATATAGACAACTCAAGTTGTCAACAAAGTTGTCAACAAAACTGAATCTGTTGACATATATTTGTTCAGTATTTATTGCTAATGAAGTAAGTTATATATCAATGTATTATTTAGTATTTAAATTGAAAAAAATTTCTTCACTTGCTGTGTTAGGCTCTTCCTACTCAACGTGTATAATGTACACTTTTTTGCCCAAAATTGCCAAATTTGGGCAAAAAGTGTACACTATACATAATAAAATATAGTAAATAATAAAAATAAAAAATCTAAACACTTTAAAAAGAAAATTTCATTAAATTACTGTTTCATTTTTATTTTATAAATAAGAAGTTAAATGTTGAAACTTTTCAATGTAATTCTTTGATAAATTAATATAAAAAATGTAATTTTTCATTGAAAAACAAAACACTAAATTTTTGTAAATTATATGATCTTTATATCTTACCTTGACCAAAAAACTGCCAATATCCAAACTAGACAAAATTTCAACAACTATTCGAACACATTCTGCATCAGGAAGCATTAAATCATACTGACCAGCAATATCAAAATCCTATAAAATGAAAGATTATTTTAAAATAATAATATTAATAACTAATAAAAGAAATAAAGTGTTTCATTTTATTATATAATCATATAAAACAATTCATTTCTTATGATATAAGTGCTTATCCAAATAAATGAAAAGATTCAGTAATAAAAAATTAATTGAAGATTAATAAAGGAAAATTAAATTTTTAATTTTCGCAACATTGTATAAATAACTCAAAAATGAAAATGTGTAGTATGCACAAGAAAATGACAGCTGTGAGATATCTGTAATTTGTATGATTTATATATGACAATTTTATGCTGGTTTACTCTTTTTCAGATCATCATGATATTATATTTACCAAACATGAATAATGATCATAGATGAAAATTGAAATTGAAGTTACTTGAAAATATTGTTGTTGACAAGACTTCATGAGATATGCAAAGAAAATCTATTCCACATTTAAAATGAGAGTGATAGTTTTCAAAGCCATGAATATGTGGCAATATTTCTTGTTTCAGACATCTCTGTGTTCACACATCACACAAGGACTTGCTACAGTACACTTTTAATATACAAATGGTAGACTCTTAGGATTTTGTCTTTGATAACAATATTGTTCATAAAACTAAAGTGAAAATTTTAAAGAACACCTATGTATGTAGTAAAAAATCACAAACTAGATAGTCAAACTTATTCATCTCATAAAGATTCAGAAATGCCATTACTATGCAATTTAAACAGTATAACTAAGAATATGATATATTCAAATTCAGAATTACATTGGAAAAATAATGATGTTCTTAGGAAATGAAATTAATGCAACAATCTCAAAGTGACAATATTCAATATCTCAAGAAGTATGACAAAAGCCAAGGAAAAAAAAATCAAAATTACACTGATTGCAATATTTGATTGGAATTCATCAATATCTTATCTCATTCCATAATTCAAAATACAATATTCTCTCTATATTATAAGCAATTCTTGAAAAAACATCTCAGATTAGCAATAAAACAAAAATATCTTCATTTACATATCAATAAGCCAATCACTTGCAAGAAAACACAAGTTGTAAGGACTTCATGCATCATTAACATAAGCAATATCATCATATCTATTTTCCTGATAACAGTTCTTGCAAATTTGATTTGTTTATCNCGTTCTCTTAAATTTGAACATCGACCGTCAAAAATAGAACAATTTCAATTACATCACGTGACGGATTAAGCGAATGGAACGAGTCAAGTTCGGAATCATTAAAACTTTTTGAAATCGATATTCGATCCAGCTGTTATCCTGATGAAGAACCCAGAAGGGGTTAGGAAAACGTTTGATTTTTGAAAGAAAAAGTGACACACATCGGTTAAAGGTTCCGTAAGTCAGATTTATTGTATTATAAACTGAATAACTCTAAGAAATCCCAAGCATACTAATATGTATGTTTGGAATGCTTTATTTTGATAAAGAAGTAAACAATAATTTTTATATAAATATAGTTTCACTTAAAAACTGTATAAATAAAAGTAAAAATTCAAAACTATGTCTATTTTTCAACAAGTTCACTATTTGGGATCACAACAGTATTGAATCTTTCTTGATATACTATTCAGTTGATGGAATAATTCTGATAAGACTTCACAAAATTCAATCTATTAGATATAATTAACCAGAATTTAATTACTAAAAATTGAAGTTCTGTCATTCATCAATCTGGCCCATAAGCAAAGATATCTTCAAAATTGAAAATCAAATAAACAAGAAAATTCTTTGAAATTTTTAGCTTTTATTCACAATGTTGTTATAACTAAATTTCAAAAACTACAAATATCTATTATATGTTTTGCTTTGAAAATATGATTTTATTTGATTATCATAACATATCAGTGTCTTTTATTTTATCAAAGAAAATTACATAAATATCAGATAATGGAAAATTAATTGAAGGAAATATATTACTTCAAAATATAGAAAACTAATTACATTATATAATTTCAATAGTTATATATTTTATTTTCCTTAGTCAACTTTAACATTATGTAAATATTTCTTAATTTAGCCAGTATTAAGAGTTTATTTTATGCTTATCATGGATTTGGCTAGTCTCACAACAGGACAACCAGATGGTAAAGGATGAAGACATGTTTCATGAAAATCTTGAGGAATCATCCCAACCCAGATTTAAACCCAAGTTTCCAAAAATGACAGACTAACATTTTTACTGCTTTGACCATATGGCTGTTATACAATATTACTTAAAACTGAAATAAAAGTATATTTAGGAAAGCAGAAAAATATTATGTTTAATTATGTTATAAATTAATAATCATGAATTATTTTTTTTTATTTTATTATTTTTTTTTTTTTGAAATATGATTGGATGCAATTTACGAATNATTTGGGATCACAACAGTATTGAATCTTTCTTGATATACTATTCAGTTGATGGAATATTTCTGATAAGACTTCACAAAATTCAATCTATTAGATATAATTAACCAGAATTTAATTACTAAAAATTGAAATTCTGTCATTCATCAATCTGGCCCATAAGCAAAGATATCTTCAAAATTGAAAATCAAATAAACAAGAAAATTCTTTGAAATTTTTAGCTTTTATTCACAATGTTGTTATAACTAAATTTCAAAAACTACAAATATCTATTATATGTTTTGCTTTGGAAATATGATTTTATTTGATTATCATAACATATCAGTGTCTTTTATTTTATCAAAGAAAATTACATAAATATCAGATAATGAAAAATTAATTGAAGGAAATATATTACTTCAAAATATAGAAAACTAATTACATTATATAATTTCAATAGTTATATATTTTATTTTCCTTAGTCAACTTTAACATTATGTAAATATTTCTTAATTCAGCCAGTATTAAGAGTTTATTTTATGCTTATCATGGATTTGGCTAGTCCCACAACAGGACAACCAGATGGTAAAGGATGAAGACATGTTTCATGAAAATCTTGAGGAATCATCCCAACCCAGATTTAAATCCAAGTTTCCAAAAATGACAGACTAACATTTTTACTGCTTTGACTATATGGCTGTCATACAATATTACTTAAAACTGAAATAAAAGTATATTTAGGAAAGCAGAAAAATATTATGTTTAATTATGTTATAAATTAATAATCATGAATTATATAAATATTCAGTTCTGAAAAGTTGCTTTAAAAAAGACAAATTGCATATAGAGAAATACAATATAGCAAATTACTATTAGTTATTAATGCAATATAAATTGTAAATAATGTATAAAAACCAACACAAAAAAGCAAAATAACAAACAATAATGAATTATTTTGATAAATATAAAATAACCAGTTACTTACACATTGATAAAATTCTCGATATCTTCCTTTAGTCATGTATGGTTTATCTCTTCTATACACTTTTCCAATATGATAGCGTTTAAAATTTGTAATTTTATTCATAGCAAGAAATCGTGCAAAAGGAACAGTTAGATCATAACGTAATGATAAAATTTCACCACCCTGATCAGCAAGATCATAAATTAATTTGCTATCTTCACCATATTTTTCTGTTAAAGTCTCCTAAAAAAATTTGAAAAATTTTCAATGATAGAAAAATAAAAATATAAAAATAGACAAACAAAAAAAAAATTGATTTTGCTGTTTTTGATTTCAACAATAATTCTTAAAAATTTTTAGTGATTAAAATTTTAAAACAGTTTAAATTTTTACTTTTAACTTTAAATATAAATTTATGAATCACATTCTTTATATTTCTATGAGTGTTGTCACAAACAAAACTATTTCCCATTTCCTGGAATACTGAAGGAATGAGCGTGATTCCTATCACTTACAACTGATCTAATCAGTTCAGAAAAATTATGATCATCAATAAGATAACTAATATCTGTATCTCTCTGAAAAGTTAGTTTTGTTCACAATATTTTTCACAACTGATTATGAGACATTAGCTAATTCTAATGAATTAAGTCAGCTTTGTGAACAAATTTATTGAATTTTTCTTCTTAGTATTTAAAATCTAAAATATAATAAGATTTAAGTTATTAAATAAAATTATGATTAAATGTGAATTGTGTAAGTGAATTAAGTATCTGGGATCCCACTTGCCACTAGTCAAATTGTTTTTTTGAATAAAACTATTCATTTGATTAACAAAATTGTACAAACATTCACCAGATCATGAAAGGACCTCCAATGGATTTTCATCAAGCTTTTATCAATGTTTTCTGGAGCCAATTCAAATATCTGCCTGCCAGTAAAGCTATACATAGCCTTGAATTGGCACCAGAAATTGAACTATTCATCACAAACCTTCTCCATTGCTGGAAGAATGATTAGGTTGCAACTAGTATGTACTGAGTTTTAGGTTATTTTTGTATTTTATTGTAAAGACTTACAGCTGAAATTTTTTATTCAATTTTAATTTTTAACACAAAGACAGTCTTTTTCTATTTTTTCCATGAGTTCAGTCAGATCCACAATAAGAGAGACAGATTGTGAAAAACATAATATATCCACTATATAATAAATCATCTATAAAAATTTGAGTCAACCAGAACTTAAATCTAGTATCCTTCAGAAGAGTAGCTAGGCTGATGTATTCACTGACAACTCAGATACATATGTCTATATCATAAACTTAAAACTTATAACATGACCCTCATGTCCTTCAGTCTGATCTACTTCATTTATCTTCCCTTTTAGAAAAAGCTAACCTAAAAATTAATTTACAAAAAACTGTAATCATATGTTTTTCACTCATTCATAATCCTCAGTTGCCCACATTCAATATTTACAATAATCCCATAAAATATTTTATTTCTTATAATGACCTTAGGGTCATTTTTGATCCTAAACTTACTTTCAAAGGACATGTTGATAAAATTATTAAATCTCTAGCTATTCACCTTGGAATTCTTTGGTGTTTTTGCAAAACTATTTCCTCAAAAACAGTTATACATTTCATTTATTTTGCCAATATTCAGTCTTTACTTGATTATTGTCTGCCAATATTGGCTATGGCTGCCTCTTCCCAATTACAAAAAATATTAAAAGAGTTAGATAAAATGTTTCTTATTCTAAATAAACTCTACTCTTCCTTTAACCTCCTAATGTTAAGCTTGCTAGGTCTAGATTGGGAATTCCCAGTTTTACTTCATGTATCAAATACTTAGACCATTTATTTTTATACAAATATTTCTATGGTTCCATTTGTTCTGATTGGCTGTGTCTAAGAGTTCTGCCATGAGTTACTCATAACCAAACTTGTTTTTTTACCCCATCTTTTAGGCTTTCCATTTCTTTCAGATCATTTTTCTATCAGTCTGTTCAGAATATGTGCTGTGTGAAACAATCTCTACATGAAGATTTTCTACATTTTAAACACAGTTGTAAACAGAAACAGTTACTTTATAATATATAATCATTTGTTTTCATTTATGTATAATTTTTATCATATATATTAATTGTTAGTCTTTTCTATCTGTATTTTAATCTTTTGTTACAGGTGCTATTTTGGGGGGAGGATATCAATTATCTTGTGACATTTCCTTTTGTTAATGCAATATATAAACAATAAATAAATAAACTTTTAATGAAAGGATTTTCAGGTAGAATACAGGGTAATCATAATTAAAGGGTATGTGTTCAGAGTTCTCTACAGAAAGAACTATTAGGCAAATCTCAACCAAATTTTATATACATACTGTTTTAAGTATGCAGTTTCAATTTTTATGAAAAATTTAGCACTGATGTCCCTTTAATATGTATATTATGCACAACATTTTCTAATGAATTTCCAATATAAAAGGATTTGTAAAATGTTCATAATTCTTTGAAGTATGAATGATCATGCTGCTCACTTTGGCTGTTCATGTGTCAATTCCACATACCACATCTATAATTGAAATAAAATTATTGCACTTTGTTTTTTTAAATCCCAAAATTTACAAGAAAATGTACATAATACAGTCCTGGAAAAAAGTTTGAAACCACCTGGGTTTTTAAACTTCCCATTAAAATTAACTGATCTTCTGTAAATATGTTGTTGTTTAGGTATTAAAATAATCATAAACTAAATATGAAGTAAAAATTTATTTTCATATTTTCATCCCAAGCAGTCACAATTGCCTTTTCAAGATCAGAAACATAATTAAATTGATTTCCATTGGCATAAACCACCAATCACCCCAAAGGTTTTCTATTGGGTTTAAATCCTGGCTACATGGTGGCCATGGCAAAACACATATTATTCTCAGACAACCATGTCATTGTTGAGGCAGCATTATGAATAGGAGCATTATCCTATTGGAAAATAAAATGTCTGTCCATTGTTTCATCTCTTAATAGTAGATCATTTCCCAACACATCTTGATAGTCAACTGCCTTTGAACAAGATGAAATGAAAGCAATAGCTGATTTTAACTAACGAGTGAAAGCTGCCCATACCAACACAGATCCTCCACCTTGTACATGATGGGATAAAAGATGAACTTAGTGACGTCATATAATGCCAATAGTATTGCACACTATTCGGGCCAAGATGGCCCTGATACTGTACAATACTATTGGCATATACTATGGCATTATCTAGGTTAAATTTCTTCTCATCACTAAAAGCTATGTGATTTTATAAATCTGAATGGCCAACATAAATACAATGCAAAGTCCAGCTGCCTTTCCATATGCAAAATTGTCAATTTTGACAGTGATTGCATTTTAATGTATGCATGATTTGCAGACTTTTGCAGAATATATCTCATTATTCATTTCAGAATATATCTCATTATTTTTCAGAATAATGAGATATATTCTGCAAAAGTCTGCAAAAGTCTGCATTCCTAAAATCTGCTTCTCAAGTTGTATCATTAGAAAAAGAGAGAAGTTCAGATAAAAATTATACAGTCGACCCCCCTATAACACGATAGATACGTTTCGATTTTTATGAATCCATTTTCTACGAGTCCAGCCAATCACAGCCCAACACATATGCAGTTTACGGACTACGGCTGTTTGAAAGGATTCTTCCATAAAATTAATCGATTCTAGACTAATTTGACTCAACATTTCCAAAATACGTATAATTTTTTGGGAATAATCCATATAAACTATGCTATAAACAAAAAATTGTAGGATTACTTATCAAGCATGCACCGTTCGACTATGCCATTGCTTAAGCTTGTTTTCATCGTGGAGCTTGTCATCAAATGGCGCTCGCGTGCTTCCTCATAAATTATTTGTTTTGCAAAAAATTCGCTGAACTTTGGAGACATCATTAATATAAATATAATTTTTATGGACGTTAANCATGATGGGATAAAAGATGAACTTAGTGACGTCATATAATGCCAATAGTATTGCACACTATTCGGGCCAAGATGGCCCTGATACTGTACAATACTATTGGCATATACTATGGCATTATCTAGGTTAAATTTCTTCTCATCACTAAAAGCTATGTGATTTTATAAATCTGAATGGCCAACATAAATACAATGCAAAGTCCAGCTGCCTTTCCATATGCAAAATTGTCAATTTTGACAGTGATTGCATTTTAATGTATGCATGATTTGCAGACTTTTGCAGAATATATCTCATTATTCATTTCAGAATATATCTCATTATTTTTCAGAATAATGAGATATATTCTGCAAAAGTCTGCAAAAGTCTGCATTCCTAAAATCTGCTTCTCAAGTTGTATCATTAGAAAAAGAGAGAAGTTCAGATAAAAATTATACAGTCGACCCCCCTATAACACGATAGATACGTTTCGATTTTTATGAATCCATTTTCTACGAGTCCAGCCAATCACAGCCCAACACATATGCAGTTTACGGACTACGGCTGTTTGAAAGGATTCTTCCATAAAATTAATCGATTCTAGACTAATTTGACTCAACATTTCCAAAATACGTATAATTTTTTGGGAATAATCCATATAAACTATGCTATAAACAAAAAATTGTAGGATTACTTATCAAGCATGCACCGTTCGACTATGCCATTGCTTAAGCTTGTTTTCATCGTGGAGCTTGTCATCAAATGGCGCTCGCGTGCTTCCTCATAAATTATTTGTTTTGCAAAAAATTCGCTGAACTTTGGAGACATCATTAATATAAATATAATTTTAAACTTTTTAAAATAATAATCATGGCTATTGTATCGTTAAAAATTATTTTTTTATTTTGTACAAACAAAATAAATATATTGAAAAATATAAAAACAAAAAAAAAAATATACTTTAGAAGTTGATCTACTATCAAAAATGCTCGATTCAGCACGATACACAGTCCTCAGAAAAACACCACACAAAAGTGCCAGTGCTGCCAGCTAAAACACACACACCAACGAAAAAAAAATATTGGAGTAGCCCAAGATATAGCCAAAGATTGCAGCACCATAGCACTAGTGAAAATTTAAATTTGCTGACTGGAATGCTTTTGGATAACCAACTTTCGGATAAACGACACTTACTGTAGATAGTTAATGGGCATGTTTCCTAACAAAATGGCTTTAATACAACTAGGTAAGCAAACAAATGACATAATCTGTTTCATGAAATG